AGTGTTTGAAATGACACAAGGGTTTGTAAATGATGACAGAATTTACATTTTTGGGTTTAATTAGCTCTTGAATTCAAAGTTTAGTTGTATTTCTGCATTCACTGAATGTTAGTTGGGAAAGTAGGTAACACTTTAAAAGAGTGTGTGAGCAGTGAAAGAATTGGCAGCAGGAAGTGGGTAGCAGGTAGCAGGTTAACATTTCACAAACACGTGAACACAGAGCTACATTTACCACAGACAGCAATAGCGCATGAAGTGGCATAAAACATCATGAGCAATATATGGAGTTCAAAAGACACTCACAGACAAATTAAAATTGATCTATGGTATTATCATCTGATACCATCACTTTACTGCAGTACCATCACAGTCCTTTTTGTAAAGGGAGAAAAAATAAATGATGAGGTTATGAGAAAAAATGAAAGCCTGTCGGAATTTGATGTTGAGTGGAAAAGGGAAGAAGAAGAGAATGTGTCAGATGAGTGCTGCTGATGTGGAGGGTTACATTCACGTGATTCGTCTCGCTCAGCACAGACATGCACAATTGCGCAAAAAGTGCAAACTGAAACAAAAAATTACAATTGAACTGTCAGTTCTTGAAAGACTTCAGAATTTTGAAATCTGAGAATTTTTTCACACATGTAATCTAGATAAATGGTTTTCAATCCTGGTCCTGGGGACCCACCACTCTGCACATTTTGTATGTCTCCCTTAACTGACACACTCAGCTGAACTCATGGAGCTCTCACCTGCTACAAGTAAATGATGACAAAATTCTGTCGTCATTTACTTGTTCTCATGTCATTCCAAAACTGTATGACTTACTTTATTCTGTGGAACACAAAATATGCTATTTTGAAAAGTGTTGGTAGCTAAACCATTTGACTTCCATTGTTAAAATTTTTTTTTTATAAATAAACATTTCTCTAATTTTTTCATTTATCTTCCACAGAAAGAAAGAATATCTGGAATGGATCTGGAATGGCATGAGAGTGAGTAAATGATGAAAGAATGTTCATTTTGGGTTAACTATCCCTTTAAGCATGCTTAATATTTACATTTAATTAAGAAGCCTATCTCAAAATAGGCTCACTAAAATAGAATCACATTATAACATGGCCATATTCCACAAAAAATAAATAGTTCACCTCAAAAATGAACATTTTGTCATCACTTACTCATGTCGTGCTTACCACATGAAATGCAAAATTAGATATTGTTTCTATACAGTGGAAGTGAATGATGTTAGTTTTATATTTTCATTGTTTATTCATTATAAAAGATGACATAACCATACAGGAATGAGACACATATATGCCTGTGACTGTGCTATCTGCCCTCCTTTAAGCAGAGAGACTCTAGATTAGAAATGGGTGTGCGAGCAGTTTATGAAATGGGGCAACATTGATAGCAGCCATGATAACAGATACGATGAAGTTGGAGCAGGGCTAGAAAACTTTTTTTTTTTTTAGAAATGTAACCCAAGCTTAAAAGACACAGGGAGGGTTTGTGTGTGAGAGAATTTTAATATCCACATATTATAGAGTTTTTTTTCCTGTTGTTTAATGTGTCAGACAGTGACTGTATCTTGTAAGGGTTAGTAAGTCATGTGCCACATTGTAACTTCCTCATTTGGAGTTAAGGCTAACACACTCGCACTCTCAATTTCTGTTCAGTTTCCACTGTTTTATTTCCTGTATGAATGCACTATCAAAAGGGTATCTGCAATACAAAGCAGCACAAATTTGTTCTAAATTGTTCAAATGTGCCCTCATGGAATGCGGTATCAAAGCACAGGTGCTTACAGCTGGATTTTCTGTACGACAGAAAAAATGTCCCGCTCACGCACGCAAACTTTAGTGCTGTCCTAAGCTGTTTCGCTCCTTGCAAAACAACCAGCAGGAGTGCTAGAGTCAGCAGCCCTGCTTCCTCAAGCCAGGAAGACTACCTTACAAAAGACGCACACATGATCAAACACTCGCTCACATGCTCCCTTTGTCTGAACCTCACATAAATCAAGACATTCCAGGGCCAGAACAAACTGACCCCTGAAGATCATTGATCCTCTTGGAAAACAGGGGAAGACCATATCAATTTCGTGTTATTGCAGTGTTGTGACTAGACTCCGACTCAAACTCACAAGAAAACCCATGTGGATCCTTAAAGGGATAGTCCAGTTTTTGGACAGTTTTTGGGTGGACTACCTTTTTAAAGTGGTCATATGATGCTATTTTAAGATCATTATTTTGTGTATTGGGTGTAACAAAATATGTTGACGTGCTTTAATGTTCAAAAAACACATTATTTTTCAAATACTGTACATTATTGTAGGTCCTCTATGCCCCGCCTCTCTCAAACAAGTCGTTTTCAACAAAGCCCCCTCCTTTGACAAGCGCAGTCTGCTCTGACTGGCCAGCTGACCCAGTGCATTGTGATTGGCAGAACACCACAAGCACGCATCGGAAATGTAATGCCTCTTACCATAATCGCTTCAGCTTTCAAAGTAAATATCAAGACAGTTAATAATGTCATTAGTTTTACCATCAGTTCAAGCCTGAAAGGGCAACAGAGTTGCGTGACAGACACAGTGATGATGCTGTACACAAGCCACGGTTAAGACAGCTGGCGTGCTATGATTTCTGACAGGCAGTTCACTCTCCTGTGATGTGACCCTGTTCCCCTCACACACACACACACGACGCGTTACTCTGCGCTGCGCAAAACTCCGCATTTCAACAGTCAATAGCAAATACTTAAACTAATAATAAACATACTTACAGTAGCTGATTCAGAAGAGCCAGATTGTCATAGCAAAGTCGGAATTTACCCCTTTTTTTTTTTTTTTTTTAGGGCGGCATTATGCTAATATTTCCACATCGTGACGTAGATATGTGGGGGCGTGTTAGAACGAGCCGTTTTAGGTAGGCGTGGTTGACTCTTAACTTTTATAAAGAATATATCTTTGGATTTGAGACTTTAGTCTTTGCAACTTTACAGATCTTATTTATGCACCAAGAGCTTGTAACACTCCAAAGAGAAAGGAAAAATTGAAAAACTTGCCTGTGCAAGTCACAAAATATATATTAAAAAAAGTTTCATCTTGACCTATGTTTGTTCTGTAGGCTTGCTGACCTTTGTGAACTGTGCCTATGTGAAGTATGGAACACGCGTTCAGGACTTCTTCACCTACGCAAAGGTCATTGCCCTCATCGCTGTCATCATCACTGGCCTGGTCAAGATATTCCAGGGTAAAGACACCACAGGAAACTTTTTACTCCTGTATAAGGTTTTTAACTTTGTATCTGTATATATAATATAATCTGATTATGCTGGTTTATGTGTGTGTTTGTGGTCTAGGTTACACACAGAATTTTGAAGGGCTGTTCTCAGGTTCATCTCGGGATCCGGGTGATGTTGCTCTGGCATTATATTCTGCTCTCTTCTCATATTCTGGATGGGACACGCTCAACTTTGTCACTGAGGAGATCAAAAATCCTGAGAGGTAATTTATCTATAAATAAAATATCTATCTATCTATCTATCTATCTATCTATCTATCTATCTATCTATCTATCTATCTATCTATCTATCTATCTATCTATCTATCTATCTAAAGGCCTTAATCTTTGATTCACTCAATTCAAAGAATGTCTAATTGAACACAGCAAACATGTGATTGGATCACATGCCGTTTTGTGGGATGTTCAGGTCCATTATGTAACAACAGCTCTCCTTCAACCTTCCTTCCCACAAACTATCCAAGCACTTCTCCATTTGGACCTCTGGGTGGAAGTACAAAAAAATCCAAATCTGTGGACATATGAAACATATTTGTCAGCATTAGGCAGAGCACTGCTCTACCAGCTCTGAGAGTTGTAGACTTAATTGTATGCATGGTAATGCATTCTGCTGCTCTCTGGTGGTCATTGTGTTTTGCAGAAATCTCCCGCTGGCCATTGCTATCTCCATGCCCATTGTCACAGTGATCTACATTCTTACCAACTTGGCTTACTATACAATCCTGCCCATTCCTGCCATCCTGGTCAGTGATGCCGTGGCTGTGGTGAGTATTCATCTTTGGTGGTCGTCAATATTGTTCATCAATATAGTTTAATCTCTTAGCTGTTCTCATTAGAATTTTATTTTTATTAATTTTTTAAAAGAACAATACAAAAACATAACAACATACACTACTGTTCAAAAGGTTGGAGATTTTTGAAAGAAGTCTCTTATTCTCACCAAGGCTGCATTTATTTGTAAAAACATTAATATTGTGACATACTGTGACATACTAATACTATAATTTTAAATAACTGTTTTCTGTTTTAAACCATTTTTTGAAATGCAATTAATTTCTGTAATGGCAATGCTGAATTTCCAGTCTGCAGTGTCACATGATCCTTCAAAAATGTTGTAAATAGAAATATAATTTTTGTTTTATTATTATAAATGCCTTTACTGTCACTTTTGATCAATTTAATGCATCCTTGCTGAATAAAAGTGTTCATTTCTTTCAAATAAATAAATAATAATCGTACTCAAACTTTTGAACAGTAGTGTACATTAAAAAAAGAAAAGAGAAAATTGGTACAAGAGTTTCTTGGCTGATTAAAGTTTTAATTCACAGACATTTGCAGACCAGGTATTTGGATATTTTAATTGGACAATACCAGTCGCTGTTGCCTTCTCCTGCTTTGGAGGATTAAACGCTTCAATAGTGGCTGCTTCAAGGTGAGTAGTATCTAACATGGGTAGTTTATTCAGTGTCATTGTTGCCATCTGAATCACCACATTATTTCATCTCAGGGACCATTTTCATTCTCAGCTCATTTCTCATTTGCGTATTTCCACTCAGGCTGTTCTTCGTGGGCTCCAGAGAGGGCCATCTGCCAGACTACCTGTGCATGATTCACATCACCCGCTTCACCCCCATCCCTGCCCTACTCTTCAACGTCAGTTCCCATCTCAACATCTCCATTTGTGTCCTAATATGCTGTATTACATGTACTAATGTTCTATTTCAATCCTGTGTTTTCCTTTGTCTGTATTCCATGTCTTTAAAGTCATCATTCATGTCTGTAAATCTAAGTATAGCTATTCTCAAATGTCTTGTTGTATGACAGGGTGCCATGGCTCTTGTGTACCTGTGTGTGGAAGATGTCTTTAAACTGATCAATTACTACAGCTTCAGCTACTGGTTCTTTGTGGGTCTGTCTATCCTGGGACAGCTGTACCTGCGATGGAAACAACCAGACAGACCACGACCACTAAAGGTAAACAAACCAGCGTCTGCCATGTATTATTTTGAATTTTTTTCAAATTAGTGAGAAAGCTAAATCCAGCAATGCTTGATTTTTATTTCAACCAAACCAATGCAACACTCAAGTTTTGCTTATAGAAGCCAGTTTCTGCCTCAGAGTAAAACACAAAAACAAAAGAAACACAGGGACCTGTTTGTGAGATAAAAGTCACACTGTGTTATATAAAGTCACATTGTGAGATATAAAGTTGCAATTGTGATAAAGCCTAGAAAGTTGCAATTATGAGTAGTAAAGTCACAGTTGTGAAATGTAAATATCTGGCATCCTGCTGTTGTAGTCATCATAAATGATATGCATTAGTATATATCATAAATATTAATATATTAATACATCATAAAATACATGCATTTTCACGTGAGTAGGTTTGGTCAGAAGGTGTTTGCTAAGAATATAAAAAATTAAACAAGTAAATGGTATTTCATACTGTGTGATCTCAAAGATATGTAATATTTATGAATAACTATATATTAATTTCTGTAGTGTTCATGCATTTCAATACATAAAAAGTTACCAATTATCATGTAGCCTTAAGTCAGAAATGTAAATATACATTTGCGAACAGAAGTCGTGTTCGCATGAGGAAACGCGTTCCATTCAATCGGTTTCATACAGTACATAGGCAAACTATAGGTATTGTCATTACTCATATCTTTATTATAGATTTATGCTTAACAAATATATAACAAAGGAGCGCCAAAATACGACTCGAGCAGACTCATTGAATAATTATCACTCATTTGTCTTACCTTTTCTTTTTCTTTCAGCTCAGTCTGTTCTTCCCAATTATATTCTGCCTCTGCACAGTATTTCTTGTGGTGATGCCTTTATATAGCGACACTATCAACTCATTAATCGGCATTGCCATTGCTTTATCGGGAGTGCCAGTCTACTTCCTGTGCTGCTATCTACCTGCCACACGTAGGCCTATGTGGCTCAGGAAGTTTATTGGTAAGTCTCCTAAAAGTCATTTAGGTTTACAGAGTTCATTGCTGCTAAAACTGACATGTGTCTATTTTCATTTCCTCTTCACCAGCATCTTCAGGCATACTCATTCAGAAGGTGTGCTACTGTGTTCTTACTGAGATGGACAAAGAAGGTGAAAAGGCAGAGTAGAAGAGGATGAGGCACTGACAAAAAAACTGGAATAATCTCTGGATTCAAGACTGGGCATGCAATACTAAAGCTGCTGATGTGATTAAACTCGTTTTTACACTGGTTTATACAGATATCATTTTAGATTGATCAGATGTCATGTTATATTCATTAGAGATATTTATGCTGCATTTTGATCAGTTGAATGCTGGTTTGATGGGGAACAGTAAACCAACTCCTTGCATGTGAAGAAACTTGGACTTTAAGGTTGTTGCGGGGATCAAATTATAGCACTGATAACAGATATATTATTTAGAGACATTTGTACAATTGCTTTGAAATAGCTATAAACCTAGTTGCACATTAATACACATAAATTTAGATGCTTGTACACTGAGAGTCTAATAAAAGACCTTGCTGTTTGTTAAAGAAAGGAATTGCCACTACAACATCTTTATCTTTACAGGTGTGTATATGAATATTGAAAGCAGTATTTTCCATGTTTTCTTTTCTAAAGACTGAAATGACAATGGCAGTGTTATTATGGATTTGTGATAACTGGTTGGATAAAAAAAAAAAAAACGATATAGAGGACAATTAATGCAAAACCTGTGCATGTTCATCAGGAAGGGACACATACATATTAATGTTAACATTTAGTCAGCCATTGTTTTTAAGTGCTTTGGATGAAAACTATATGGCAGGTCTTCCAGCCAGTTCTATCAAACCTTTACAATTAATCCAGAACGCGACAGCAAGATTAATTTTTAACAAGCCAAAAAGAACGCACGTCACACCTCTGTTTATCAATTTGCACTGGCTACCAATAGCTGCTCCCATAGAATTCAAGGCATTAATGTTTGCCTACAAAACCACCACTGGCTCTGCACCCCTTTACCTAAATTCATTACTTCAGACTTATGTGCCCTCTAGAAGCTTGTGTTCTGCAAGTGAACGTCGCTTTATTGTGCCATCCCAAAGAGGCACAAAATCACTTTCACTGACTTTTAAATTAAATGTTCCCTCCTGATGGAATGACCTGCCCAACTCAATCCGAGCAGCTGAGTCCTTAGCCATCTTCAAGAATTGGCTAAAAACACATCTCTTCCATATTTATTTGACCCTCTAACTCTAGCACTCTCTATTCTAATTCTATTCTTTAAAAAAACTTGCCCCTTTTAGATTTGCACTCGATTCTTTACTAACTGCTTGTTTTCTTTAAAAAAAACAAAAAAAAAAACACTAGCTTAAACATTAAGCAAAAAAATGCCTTTAACACAAGCTTGCTCTATTCTATGTTTTCTTTTTATTATATCATTTAAAAAAAACCTTGCTATGTGTACTGCGTTAAGCTAACTGAGACTTGTTATAGCATTTGCATATCATTGCTCTCTTTGTTGATTTTGATTGCTTCCCTCGTCCTCATTTGTAAGTCGCTTTGCTATTTTCGTAGACGATTTAGACTAAATGTAAATGTAATTTGTGTGTATGTATACATGTAAATGAATGGAGAAAGTGATAAGGCAATAAGATTGCTCTTAATGGCAAGAAAACACAGCACAACACCATTTCCATTAAACACATATCTTAATTTTTCCACCCATCCCTTAGTCCTTCTCAATACATATGTACAAAGCCATCACAATTCTCCTTTAATGTCTTAACCAATCGTCTCTTCCCAGGGCCTCTTCTGGTCTTGCTTGGAACAACTTGATTTTCCTGTTGACACTGGTGCTGGTGACTGTTGGAGAGGGTTATGGGTAAAAGTCTGCTTCAGAGGACCTTTAAAAAAAGGGGCAGGGATACATGAAAATTGTGAACAGAAAAAAAACATCTGTAATACATAGCTGTAATCTGTAATATATAGCTTCACAAGTGTACACACATTCATAGTATGCCAACAGAGGTACAAGCATTTTCATCAATAAACACTTACATTTCATTCAGTACCGAAATGTATTAATCCAATTTCAAATGTTCAGGATCAGTAAGATTTTTTTTATATATAAACGTTTATTCAGGAAGGACACATTAAATTAATCAAAAGTGACAGTAAAGATATTTATAATGTCACAAAACTTATATTTCAAATAAAGGCTCGCAAATCAGCATATTACTTACTAAAGATTTCTTAGTACAATGTGAGAAGACTGGAGTAATGATGCTGAAAAGACCTCTTTGCCATCACAGGAAAAAAAATTACATTTACAAAATATATTCAAATAGGAAACAGTCATTTTAAATTGTAATAACATTTCACAATATCAAATTTTTACTGTATTTTTAATCAAATAAATGCAGCTTTGGTAAGAAACTTCTTTAAAAAACATTTACATAATCTTATTGACCCCAGTGTTTGAGCAGTAGTGTAGGCTGTAGACAGTAGGTTTTGAAACAGAGCAAGCCCTCACCTTTGGCTGCCATATCCAGGTGTCCTTTATTTCTTCCTTCCCTCTCCTCCAGCTGCTGAGCCAACTGGGCATTATTCCATCCTGAGTGAACGAATACAGAAACATAAACATTACACTACGGGGCCGTTGAATGCTTGAATCTGATTGGCTGACGAACGTTCTGATGTGTGCGATTATTTTCAGGGAAATGCACGGCGAACGTAGTTCCAGGCAGCTCTCTTGAACGCATCCATATCACTTCGCATAGTTAAATGTAATAACGGAAATTAGCATACAGTACCTATACAGCACACAGAATTACTGCAATCACACGTGCTCGCACACGCACACATACGGTCACGCAGTTTGCACAAAAAGGTGTTGTCAGCACTGCCCTGACGATTTGATCAGTTATCCTATATAGTGTTGCAACTTAAAGGCTACATGACATTTCTCACTAGCGAGGTATTAACAGCGCTGCTTAGAGACGCTGCTGCAGAACACTGTTGAGGGACGCACAAGCTCTCTCTCTCTCTCTCTTTGTCTCTGTCTCTCTCGCTTGCTTTCTAATAACTTCATTAATAAGTGCATTAGAATGCTATCAACGGCTCAAGCCTCCATCACCAGCTTTAAAATAACGTTTTGTAACTAGGAAAAGAAGCGTTGGATGAGATGCGGAAGAAATAATCCTACTCACAATAGCGATTTAAAGGGGTCATATGATGCGATTTCAATTTTTCAAAAGTGATATTCTTTATAAAAGTTAAGCGTCAACCACGCCTACCTAAAATGGCTCGTTCTAACACGCCCCCACATGTCTACCTCACTATGTGGGAAGATTTTGCATAACACGCAAAGAAAGAAGGCGTAACTTTTATTCTCGCTGTAGTATTGTTGCCGTCGCCATGTCGTGAAGGCGCTGTGTGTTTCCTTGTGAAAGCGAAACTACTTTGTTTGGTCTTCCAAAAGAGGACGATATCCGCTTCCTCATGACTAGAGCTGATCCGTGCTGGTCGCTGAGGAAATACATCAACTTCTCGCTCTGGATCGCCGGATCGGCTTTCACCGTGGATGAAGCGGAGTCCAGCCTGGGGTCGTCACATGTGGTTGCCGCAGGCATCACAGTATGGTGAGGGGCGTAACATTTCCGTCACACGCTTGAGGTATTCGGCCAATCACAACGCACTGGGTAGCTGGCCAATCAGAGCACACCTCGCTTTTCAGACCGATGAGCTTTGTAAAAATCAACGCGTTTCAGAAAGGCGGGACATAGAGGAGAAACAATAATGTACAGTATGTGGAAAATAATGTGTTTTTAACCTTAAACCACATAAACACATTTCATTACACCAAATAATGTTCTTTTTAGCAGCATCATATGACCCCTTTAAGTACAAAAACTGGACGAATCCCTTTAAATATATCATCTGATCGATGTCTTGAGGTATGGTAACCATAGTATAAGCGGAATAATTGACTCCGGGCCGTTGAATTATTAGGAAAATAATGCACACCCATCGTCAATTATTCCTTACGCATAAGACAGGCAAAACAGTAAGACAAAGAGAAATGATTCAGATACAGAAAAGTGTTGTTATTGTTAACTACAACTCAATGATTGAAATAAAGCTGAAATAAAATATAAATATGACATGAAAATGTACTTAAAGATAACTCAAATAAGGTGAAGTACTACAAAAATACTAAAACTGAAATAAAAAGCTGCACATAAAATGCATAAATGCACATAACAGAATGACTACAACTTGAACTAAAATCACAATCAAATCTGAATATAAAAAACAAGACTTAATTCAAAATATTAATAAATACTATGATAGTACAATATATAATTGATACTAAAACAACTCTGATACAGAAGATAAAGCAGAAAAATCTTAAATCAAGTCTTAAATTCATCTACACCTTTCTTGATGCTTTTTATGAAACCTTCATTGGGAGGTAGTGCTGAAGATGGGTGTGTGATGCGTTCTGGGATGCGTAACTTCTGTCTCACGACTGGGTGCCTCAGCAGGGCCACCTGACCCAGTGAGAAGAGGTTAGAGGTCATCCAGTAGGTGAACACTGCCTGTAAAACACACAGATCAAACCACACTACAGAAATCATTACAGCATGACAAGCCAAGATGGATCTCATAACGAATACAGTTGAAAAACTCGAAAAGAGCGTGTGAGAGACTAACCGTGGGGAAGTTAATCGTCATAGGGAGGATCACAAAGGGCATGATCCTGAAGACAGTCTTCATGGCCCTCATATTGGGGTTGTCTACACCAGATTCAGCTCCCAACTGTAAAAAATAATTGTAAACATTTTAAATTGCTGTAATACCCCAAAAATACGTCTGTCAAGCTCCAGAAAAAAAAA